TTCACCTCAGAATTGAAGAAGCTCCTCGGATGAGAAGTGAAACGTCTTCACCTCAGAGTTAAAGAAACTCCTCAGATGAGAAGTGAAACGTCTTCAGCTCAGAGTTGAAGAAGCTCCTCAGATGAGAAGTGAAACGTCTTCAGCTCAGAGTTGAAGAAGCTCCTCAGATGAGAAGCGAATCGTCTCCAGCTCAGAGTTGAAGAAACTCCTCAGATGAGAAGTGAAACATCTTCAGCCCAGAGTTGAAGAAGCTCCTCGGATGAGAAGTGAAACATCTTCACCTCAGAGTTGAAGAAGCTTCTTAGATGAGAAGCGAAACGTCTCCAGCTCAGAGTTGAAGAAGCTCCTTGGATGAGAAGTGAAACGTCTTCAGACCAGAGCCAAAGAAGCTCCTCAGATGAGAAGCGAAACGTCTCCAGCTCAGAGTTGAAGAAGCTCCTCAGATGAGAAGTGAAACGTCTTCAGTCCAGAGTTGAAGAAGCTCCTCAGATGAGAAGTGAAACGTCTTCACCTCAGAGTTGAAGAAACTCCTTGGATGAGAAGCGAAACGTCTTCAGTCCAGAGCTGGAGAAGCTCCTCGGATGAGAAGCGAATCGTCTCCAGCTCAGAGTTGAAGAAACTCCTCAGATGAGAAGTGAAACGTCTTCAGCCCAGAGCCAAAGAAGCTCCTTGGGGGAAAAGCGAAACGTCTTCAAAGAAAAAACCAAAAAGTCTAGTTGAAAAAAAAGGAAGAAAGAAAGAAAGAAAGGAAAAAAAGGCACCTTTGAGTTGAAGGGGAGCGTCAGTCCTGGGCCCGGACACCTGGGGCCAGCAAGGAGTCGCTTTGGACTTTCGATCCTGTTCCTTTCTCTGAACAAGGGTTAAAAGTCCAAAGTTTTGTCCCAGACTTTGCTTTGGAGTTGAGCAAGAGGGAGGGGCAGGGGGGGAGGAGAGCGGCTCTTTGCTGTGCCCTCCCTTCTAGGCCCATGCCGGCGAGGGTTGGCCCTGGCAGGCACCGGCGGGCACGCCTCCTCCTTCCTCTTCTTCTCCTCTTTCACCACCACCGCCACCACCAGTGTTGCGGTGGGAACCTGCGGTGAACGGGCGGCTTTGGCTGGAGCCCCACATCTGGGAGGTGGGCAAGGAAGCCTCCTTGGAGGGTGGGGGAGAGATGGACCCCAAAGGGAGCCAAGCAGCTTGAGGGGCACCTCGGGAACCCTGGAAGGGTAAGTTGGGGCGGGGACCGGCTGGTGAGGCGTACGAGATTGCTGAACCAAACCGGGTGGGACGTGTTTCGGGGTTGCCTCTGGGCGCATTCCGACAGGCTCTCGGGCACAGGGCTTCCCTGGCGGAGGACTTCTTCGGGAAGGGTGGAAAATTCACCAAAGCTGGCCTTTAAAGTAAGGGGAAGAGGGGGAAAAGGAGAGGGGAGGGGAGGGGAGGAGAGGAGAGGGGAGGGGAGGAAAGGAAAGGAAGGGAAAGGAAAGGAAAGGAAAGGAAAGGAAAGGAAAGGAGAGAAGGGAAGGGAAGAAAAGGAAAGGAAAGGAAAGGAAAGAAGGAGGGAAGGGAAAGGAAAGGAAAGGAAAGGAAAGGAAAGGAAAGGAAAGGAAAGGAAAGGAAAGGAAAGGAAAGGGAAGGGAAAGGAAGGGAAAGGAAAGGAAAGAAGGAAGGAAGGGAAAGAGAAGGGAAGGGAAGGAAAGGAAGGAAAGGAAAGGAATGGAAAGAAGGAAAGAAGGAAGGAAGGGAAAGAGAAGGGAAGGGAAGGGAAGGAAAGGAAAGGAAAGGAAAGGAAAGGAAAGGAAAGGAAAGGAAAGAAGGAAAGAAGGAAGGAAGGAAGGAAGGGAAAGAGAAGGGAAGGGAAGGGAAGGGAAGGAAAGGAAAGGAAAGGAAAGGAAAGGAAAGGAAAAAAGAACAGAGAGGGAAGCAAGGAAGGAATGGAGGGAGGGGGTGATAGAAAGGAAAGAAAGAAAGAAAGAAAGAAAGAAAGAAAGAAGGAAGGAAGGAAGGAAGGAAGGAAGGAAGGAAGGAAGGAAGGAAGGAAGGAAAGATAGACAGAAAGGAAGGAAGGAGGAAGGGAGATGGAAAGGAAGACAGACAGAAAAGAAAGAAAGAAAGAAAGAAAGAAAGAAAGAAAGAAAGAAAGAAAGAAAGAAAGAAAGAAAGAACAGGGGGAGGGAGGAAGGAGAAAGGAAAAAAATGAAGGAATGACACAAAGAAGAAAGGAAAGAAGAAGAGTGGGGAGGAAGGAAAGAAAGAGCGAAGGAAAGAAAAAAGAAGAGAGAGAGGGAAGCAAGGAAGGAATGGAGGCGCAGAGAGAGAAAGAAAGAAAGGCGGGTGAAAGAGAGGGAGGAAGAAAGAAAGACAGAAAAGAGGGATGGAGGGAGACAGAAAGAAAGGAGGAAGGGAGAAAGAACGAAAAAGAAAGAAAAAAAGAAAGAAAGAACAGGGAGGTAGGGAGGAAGGAGAAAGAAAGAAAAGAAAGAAAGAAAAAGAGAACAAAGGAAGGAGGGAGAAAGGAAAAGAAAGAGGGAAGGAAAGAAAAAAGAGAGGAAAGTAAGGAAGGAGAGAGGGTGAAGGAAGGAAAGAAAGAGAGGAACGGAAGGACGGAAGGATGAAGACAGGGGGGCTGAAGGAAAGAAAGAAAAAAACCAAAATTTGCAGGAAAAAGAGAAGAAAATATAAACGTAAATTGAACCCTGGATATACGTCTACTGCACAACTTTCATTTTTTGCTTTCACCGCCTATTGTTCCCAATCCTCAAACCCCCACACACATCCTAATTTCATTTTTGTTTCCCCCTTTCATGGGTTCCACCAACATCCAATTTAATCCACCCCTTTTCCCTAATCAAAGCTGTCGATTTCATGCTTCCAGCCAGCTCTGCCCACTTCCCCACCTGCATCTTCCACTGTGGATCAGGTCCAATTTATTAATAACAAAATCATAGAATAACGGAGCTGGAAGGGACCCTGGAGGTCTTCTAGTCCAACCCCCTGTCCAGGTAGGAAGCCCTCTACCCAGGGATGGGATTCTACCTGATCGGACCAGTTCTATAAAACTATAAAACTCCTTATCTGGCAAATCTGCCTGCTAAGTTGCTATTTTTTCCTTTTTTTCACCCCCTCCCTGACCATCAGCTGTTTTTCTGTGCCGGGAGATTTAGATTAGCTAGAAAGCAGGAAATCCTTGGATTTCTTGCTTTCTAGCTAATCTAAAAGCAGAGCTGAACCTTCCTTAGGACCAAATCTTCTATTTTTCAGTGCAGACTCAAGTAGCAGATGGCAGATAGATAGATTTCTGAATGAATCTGTGATTCTGCGAGCAGCTCAATCTGCCTGCCTGCTTGGCCTGATTTGGGGTAAAAGTTCCTCCTTTTTTATATATATATTTTTAAATATTTACATAAATATTTATCATGTTTACATACAAGCCACGCCCAGTCAGCAAGCCAGGGCCACCCGGTCACATGACCGCCAATCCATGGTCACAAATTAGGCCACGCCCACAGAACCGGTTGTTAAGAAATTCGAATCCCGACCCTGCTTCTAACATTCTTCTTCTTCTTAAAAACCTCCAGTGTTGGATCACCCATTCTCAAGGGAAAACCCTAGAAACCGCTTCACAGACCCTGCGTCCGTAAGCCCCCTGCCCCAAATAATCTCCTCCCCGAACCTTAAATCAAATCTTAATTTCCAAACCTTGGAGAGATTGGACAGCCAATGGCCTGGAATGGTTTGAGATCTCCTGCTTGAGCAGGTCCCTTCTGTTATTCTGTTACCCGTATTACATTTTATTCCGCTTTTCTTTTCCACGGTTGACGGAAAAGCTATCCTCTCTACGTTTTCGATCACTCCTCTCTTCCCTTCCCTGGTTCCCCCTCACCCACCCTTCCTACTATTTTTAGAATGCCATTTTCTCACCTCTGACTTTAAATAGGACGGGAACCTGCCCAAGGTTGATCTATGATATAAGGCGTTTGCAAATGCCCCTCGAATAAATGCTACCAAGACAACATCTCAACGAGGCCCTAGAGACTGCAATTCAAAATAACAAAAACTGGGGACCCTATGCCATTCCAAGCAAAAGCTCGTCCGATCTTCCCCTTAAAATCCTTCTGCGATGGACTACCCAGAACCTCTGGTGGCAAGTAGTTCCACTGCTTAAGTATTTTCGCTGTCAGGACCTTTAGCAACAACACAAGAGCACACAACACATACAAACTCAATGTAAACTGCTCCAAACTCAATTGCAGAAAGTAGGACTTCAGCAACCGAGGAATGCCTGGAATGCACTGCCTGACTCTGTAGTTACATCCTCAAAACCCCCCAAACTCCTTTAACCTTAAACTAGCCACGATTGACCTGACCCCATTCCTAAGAGGCCTGTAAGGGACTTGCATAAGGGCACCACCTACCGCCCCTGTCCTATTGTCCCCATTTATTCGTACCTATTTCCTGTATTCTTACTCATGTTTATACTTATACCTATTATCTTGTAAGCGATTGACAAATCAAATCAAAAATAAAAGAAGGAAGGAAAGAAGGAAGGAAAGGGGCAGGAAGGAGAAGAGGGAAGGGGAAGGAAGGAAGGAGAGAAAAGAAGGGAGGGAGGAGAGAAAGGAAGGGAGAGAATAACCATTCCTAAGAGGTCTGTAACCCCCATTCCTTTAATCTCAAACTAGCCACGATTGACCTCACCCCATTCCTAAGAGGTCTGTAAGGGGGGACGCATAAGGGCACCGTTCTTTTCTTATTGTCCCCTTTATTCGTACCTATTTCCTGTATTCTTACTCATGTTTATACATACCTATTATTATTATACCTATTAATATACCTATTAAGCAATTGACAAATCAAATAGATAGATGATTGACTGATAGATAGATAGATAGATAGATAGATAGATAGATAGATAG